AATTGGGGAGCCATTTTTCTCATGCTCCGGGCAGGATTGCGCTTGATTCGTTTCTTAATGATTTTCTTGAGTCTCGTGTGATCAATTTTTGGCGGACGTTCACTTTTAGGAAGCTCTTCGACTCTATTTTGTTGCAAAATGCGGTATACCGTCATTCGATGCATTTTCAGTAGTTTGGCAATATCCGAAGTTGATCGTCCTTGTGCTCCAAGCTGAAGAATAGCGGCACGGTTGGGAGAAGCCTTCACCATTATGTCCAAACTTAAAAATTTGCTTAAAAACTCCCACATAATATAAAAAAGCATTCAAATTAAGAGAAAATAATCCTTTGGCAAGAAATAAAAATCAATCAGTTTCTTAAATCAATGTTACAACCTTGTAACCATACTTATGCCGCACCCTGTAGAATCCGATTAACGTTGGTGTTCGATTCAGAAATCGTCCTATTGCCCTTATTTGAGTGTCCTTCGCAATTCATTGCCTCTGTAAAGAAATATTCTTTGCGTGCTTGGTACTCTTCACTCAAGACACGTTATTTCTTGTTTCGAGATATCTGATCTCACTTGAACTAAGACACTTTATTCAATAGCTCGGAATTTTTCAATAGCTCGGAATTACAATTGGTTTTGCATTTTGAAAGTCTCTAAATGTCTCTGACATCCTGTCAACTTTTCGGTAAATTCCCCATTCGTCCTTCTCAACGTCACGTGCATTTTCTTTCAATTTTTTCTCATTTTCACTTTGATGTTGTTTTATGAGAAGTAACTTTGCATTTTTTAGGAAATCGGCCGGTCTATCAATGATGTTGTCGCCACTTCGCGGATCTACTCGACACGATGGGATTGGCTTCAACGCAGGATTGGTGGGTAGTTTGTTAATTGTCCTCATCTAGCGGTTTATGTAATAAAGAAACATTGCCGTTGTCTTGACAAATTTGTAAAAAGTTCCGAATCTTTGTTCTTCTATTAGAATTTCTTGGTTTTCGGTTACGATTTCTGTTAGAATCAAAGTGTTCTTGGAACAAATTTTCCTGTTTTTTCTTGGGTAACCCATTTCAGTGCCACTTCTGAATCTCCGCAAATGACAATTTCATCAATCTTTAATTTTATTTCTTTCAATAGGTATTGGATCTGCTTATGAGCACGTTCTAGGGGTAACAATTCCATTTTTGGGATTGTGGGAATGACTTTCGTAGGGTTCAGCCGATTCTTTGCAAAGATTATCGATGACTCAAATCTTCGACCAGTTTTCGATTGCAGGTATGCGACAATTGCGAGGGCTTTTGCCGATGCATCAGCAAAGATCGCTATTCATGTGTAATCTCTTTGTAGTGTTGTAAAGATGAACCTTGGGATCGTGATTCTTGTTTCTTTACCGAACTTGCTTTCAATTTCTTCCCATTGCTCACTCTGTTTTTCCGGTAGTTGATGGTCCCATTTTAAGTCTTTGATAGACCACAAACTTTGATAAAAACTTTTAGCCTTAACTAGCAATGAGGTAGCGATTCCCAATGGGTCATAATTCGTTGCAATAGCTTGGATTATTTTCCTTTTGGTTAACGGTCGTTCCGTCTTAATTTGGATGATTTGCGATAAAGTATCTTTGTCGCCGTCCCAAGTCATTCCTAGCAGTTTTAGTGAGCTTTCCACGATTTTATCGTCCTTTTCAATCGAGTTTAGCACAATTTTGTTGTTGCTAGTGAATTCTCGAATGTCCATCTTCATTTTTCTGAAGACATCCTTGTAAATCTTATATTTTTGAATTGCTTCTTTCTCGCTATGTTCGCCGACAAAAAGATTTTCGACGTACATTTGTTATTGTCGACGACGTAAGATTGTCGATTTTTAACAACTTCATCCTTCAGTTCGGGGTAATTTTGTTCTAACATGTGTAGTATTGATATTGTGAGTAGAAAGGCATTGGCTTTAACACCAAATGGTGTCCGTGTATATCTTAAAGCTCTCAAATTCTGGAAAGAGACGGGTTGTTTGTAATCTTTCAACCACAATATGCAAACTACATCCTTTTCGGAACTTTGTAGGTGAACTTGATGATATGCTTTCTCTACATCGACTGTAAGCAATATTGGAAATGTCCACAATCTTATCAAGATTCCGATCATGTTTGGGATCAATGACGGGCCTTGGTGCATGATTTGGTTCAGCGATTTTTGCCCTTTCATGCTCGCACTTGCGTTCAAAACAATTCTTAGCTTTGTGGTCGTCGAGACTTCTTTTATTACCGCCTGATGTGGTATATAAAAGCTGATTGGGCCTTCAATTTTTCTTGGTGCTTCTTCTAGGATTCCTTGTTCCAATTGTTTTTGGAATTCTTCATTATATTTTCCCAATAGTTCTGGTTTTCCTTTAAGTTGCTTGATGAGGCTATGCAAGTATTGCATCGCAAGCTTGAAATTATCATCAATTTTAGGATTTTTCTCTATCCAAGGGAACTTTACATGAATTTCTCCATTAACGAGTTGGACCTCTTCTTTGAATTTTGTGACAACTTGTTGCTCCTTTTCTGAAGTTGCGGCTTCAGGAGACTCAGTGATGCCCATTCTTTCTAGGTCCCAAAAATTTTCCTCGGTTATGTTATCGATAGCTGTGGAAATGTTCGTAGTGTTTTTGACCTTCTGGTTTAAACATAAATCTAACTCTCCACATTTAATTTTTCCTAGCTTTGTTTCAATTTGCACCAAACCGCTGTGATGAATTGTCCAAGGTTCTTGTTGAATAATGTTCCAACAAAAGTCTTGACCAATAATTATGTCAAGTTTAACGTTTTTGATTTCAGGTTCGTCTCCGAATGCGATGTTAGCTTCGGGAAGCTCCGGCAACTGCATCACTTCGAGTTTAAATGTGTCAGGTAAATGTTTGTTAAAAATTTTTGATTGTCGTAATAAAATTTTGAATGTTTTCGTTTTAATTACGCTTAAATGGCTGTTTTAATGTTTAAAACTTTGACATTTATGCTCGACAATTTTAAATTTTCTGCTAAATCTTTTGAGATAAAACTTTCTGTTGAACCTGTATCGATTAAAACGTTTACCTTGTCCTTGTAATGTTTTTGGTTGTCTGGATTGACTGCAAACACTTGTAAAATGCTTGTTACGTGGATCTTCTGGGAAAGCTTTGGGTGTGAATTGTTGAAGCAAAGCAAATTTTCTGATTGATTAAAATTTTGTGAAAAGTTAATGTTCTTCAACTGTGGTTTCCTTTGAGGCACGAAAAAATTTTAGACTGCAGTCGTTTTGAACTGTTGAATTTTGCTCGAAGTATCCCGTATTGTAAGGACTTCGCACCGCCACTAGCTCCACATTTAAGGAAGAGAGAAAAAGAACTTATAAGGACTATGCCAAATATCTCGCGTTACAGAGCTCCATTGGAAAAAGTAAAAGAATATTCAGGATCAGCATAGCCGATTCTATAAAGTCCCGTGGCTCTCGTATCAAAAGGCCACCTTGACCTGGTGCCTTTCCCTAATCTCTCAGTTTTTAAAAGTAACAGAACAAAATCCTTCAAATTCTACTCAAACTGCAGGGTGCACCTTAATTGTCGCAACAGATTTGTTCCCCAAGACGCGAAAGTCGATTCCGATCACTACCTGGCTCTTCTTAAAGATGAACAAGACTTTGCCATGGGCTCGTAAACATTTAGGAAATCGCATTTGGACTTATCAGCAAGATGGCGCACCGGCCCACAAATGCAAGAAAGTCCAAGAGTTCTGCCAAAACAACTTCCCGGACTTCATTTCTTTTTCTGAGTGGCCACGTAGCTCTCCAGACCTGGAATGGATTTTTCAGTGTGGTCGGTTTTAGAAGCCAAAGCTTGTTCAAAGCCCCACAAAAACATCGAAAGCTTGAAGAAATGACTGTTGAAAGCGTGGGAAGAGCTCGATCCAGCGTATTTGATCCCCACCCTTGACGCCTTCCCGAAATGCTAAACTGCTAATGGTGGTCGATTTGAATTTGATATTAATTTATAATTGTTAATGTACAATAAATGTTATTCAGTTAAAAATTTGTCTTTTTTGTTCTTGTCTGCCTTAAAGTCAGAACTTTATCTTGTTGCGACAATTATGGCGCACCCCACATCGGCGCGAAATGCGTTTTCTATCGAATTTTGCTGGGAGTACCTTTTTTAGATGCGGAAAATTGTGCTGATTCCGGATCTGAAAAATTTTTTCAAATCCCCTTGACAGAAATTTTTAAAATTGAGTTTTAGCGGTTTTTTGGTCATTTTGTATGGGAAATTTTGTGGTACCCTGCAGTTTGGGGCTCGTAACTCGAGAACGAGGGTCTAGAACCAGAAACGAAGGGATAATTTTTATTCTAGAGACTCTTACGAACATTTTGATGCAAAAACCATCTAATTTGCTCAACCCTACAAAAAGTTATAAAATTTTTTAAAAAAGAAATAAGAAAATTTTAAAAATTCTCTATTGCACAATTGTTTTGTTCAAAAGAACAATGTAGCTATGTATCGTATTCACTCAAAACAATTAAGGAATATGCAAAATAATAGCTCAAGTGCGCGGGAGAGCCGAACCAACAACCCCATACTTTTGCGCGGGATTCACGTCGCGCGCCTTAGACCACTCGGCCACGGTTTCCCCTTATGTTTTTAGTGTATTTTGCAAAATTTCTTTAAAGACGTTATAACTTTTTGTAGGGTTGATCAAATTTGATGGTTTTTGCATCAAAATGTTCGTAAGAGTCTCTAGAATAAAAATTATCCCTTCGTTTTTGGTTCTAGACCCTCGTTGTCGAGTTACGAGCCCTAAACTGCAGGGTACCACAAAATTTCCCATACAAAATGACCAAAAAATCGCTAAAACGCAATTTAAAAAAATTTCTGTCAAGGGGATTTGAAAAATTCCTTCAGATTCGGAATCAGCACAATTTTCCGCATCTAAAAAAGGTACTCCCAGAAAAATTCGATAGAAAACGCACTTTTGCCTTATTTCGCGCCGACGTGCACCCTGTATTTTCATTTTCAGTTCAGCTCCGATGTTTCGGAAACAATCGACGGAGATCCATCGGTTGTGGCCGTGCACTGGCACTGAATGGAATTTCACTTATATTGAAATGGCTATAAACACGATTGGATGTTTCTCAATTACTTGTGCCACTCAGCCTGACTTGTGCGTTTTGACTACAACAACAACCACCACAGTTAAGACGACGACAACGAAAGTAACAACAACGAAAGTAACGACAGCGACTACAAAAACTACGAGAAGCACACCTAAAACAACAACTACAACCAAAGCGACAACAGCGACAGCTGCCACGACAACCCCAACTACTACAACAGCTACGCCGACCACTACTACAGCCACAACCACTACGATAACTACGACTACAAGAACAACTACTACAACTACGACCATCACCGGTTTTCGGTGAGTTTCAGATAATTTTTAAATTTTCAAATACTAATTTTAGGTGACCCGTGGTTCCGTCAATAAATTCAATAAATAAATTCATTCACTTCAATCGGAGAAAACGATCGGCTTGTCGAGACCGCTCAATGCAACTAGTGGATGAGGAGAACACGCATAAACAAGCATTTGATCAATTTTTGCATGTTTTTGTCACAGATTCGTCACTTTTATCTTTTTCACATCAACAAAAAGCTAATGGCTTTAAGTTTTTCTGCACTTTTGATATCTGCTGATCGCCATAAAACTTTTATTCAAGAAATACTAGTTAAGATTACTAATGAATATTGGAACCACTACCACATAGCTATCAAGATTGCCAGCAGCTGATGAGCCCTCCGGGCGGATCTAATTTGATGTGTTCAAAATTCTTTGGGTTAGCTACCATTTTCTTTTTGTATGTGCGTTTAAGCGTAGTATTAAATATTTGGTTAACCTACCTCTTGGATTGATCCCAAATCTTCACCGGGCGGAATTTCCAAACTTTCATCGGCTTCAGGAACGATTATCGGGTTGGTGTTGTTCGGTTGGTGTTGTTCTGGGTCTAAGTGCTGAAGCTGAACAACATTTTTGGTTTTTATCATTTAAAGAAGACATACTTTCGTTTCAAACATTGGCTTCTTCTGGTTTGCAATTACATCAAGTATTCTCGAAATCATTTCTTGAATCTCATCTTTGGCTGTTTCCGCTTCATTCAATTTGATACTTCCCTGGTTTCTTTTCAAATCCCCTAAGCAAACTTTTCTCTCACCTGACCTTTCTTCGCTTCATGCTCATCTTTCGGTAGTTTTGGTTCAATAGGTTTCTGAATACGGCTCTCTTATTGACTGGAAATGTCACCAACCAATTGATCTCTGATTTCCTCGAGAATGTGCAGATTGGCTAGCGCGATTTCATCGATTCCGGAAGGCTGGGTTAACTTTTCCTAAAAAATATTGGAAAAAGGGAAATAACAAAGCGAACCAGAAGCTTTTGTTTGGGATTGTTGGCGATATTGTATGAATCTGGCTGTGAATGATTGGATGAAGATGCTGAGGGTGAAGGGGGCCTATAGGTATATGAATCAAAAGAAATGAATTAGAAATTACAATTTTCATAAAAATGCAAGACAACTTAAGCATTATTTTTGAAAACTAACACCGGATACTCAATTGAAAGCTCTCTCAGTTTCTCTGACTTCAAAAACCTCAGGCACTGTAGAATCGCGTATATCTAAATTGAGACAATTTCGCAGGTTGCTATGAATCGCCCTGCATTTCCCACTTGCGACCTTTTTCCGAGAAAATGCTGGGTTGACGCTTTAAACCCCTCTCATTTGCGCGAAATTTCATTTTTTTTCATTCTTGTTCACTTCAGTTTATTCTTTTTGCGTTTTTTCAACTAAAAAGCCACAAAAACAAAGCTTCTGCCATAGAAAATGATAAAACCACTTAACTTAACATTAGTTGGCATCAAGTTCGTGGAACAGATCGTCGGGAAGCAAATGGGTCTAAAAAACTCTACGAACAAAGCTTCCGCCACAAAAAATTACGTTAAAAACGTAACTTAACTTTATCCTCTTTTTCCTGCAAAAACAAACGCGATCACATCAGAAAAATACAAAAAAAAATGAAATTTAGCGCAAATTAGAAGGGGTACGGTAGTTTTACCACGCTTTAAAGAGCCAACCCAGCATTTTCTCGGAAAAAGCTCGCAAGTCATTTGCCCTAACCTCCAGACGGATTTTCATTTGCACCGCGCTGGTCTGAATCTTCTCAATCTCATCGATGGCCAACGCCGTGAGCAAATTCATCATCAGCACCACAATCACCACCACGAAGAGAATGTACAAGTAGAAAGCGAAATAGCGAAGCCATGGCCTAAATTTCGCAATAAAATTTTGTGATTATAGCTGAAATATGACATTCGTGTTTTGGGATCATCTACCGTTTAATTATCAAACCAACATTTTTTCTTCGCTTTCGCCGTGAAATATCTCGGAGTAGTTGATCTCACCGGTTCCCATTGCCAGCGTTTTGAAGAAAGACCAATGAATATGCGAAAACTCTTCCTAAATTTTCTCTTGTTACTCAATAAGAACAAACTTTTTTTTCACTACAGTTCTTCTTTTACAGGCCGATATTTGCTAGATGCACATCTAAAAAGTGTCCTCACTTTACCTTGTCTTGTAAGAGCAGTGAGAAGCTGAAAGAAAAAGCCAGAAGAAAAAGGACGAAAATCCACGTCTGCTCTAAAGATTTTGCAGCCACATTTTTGAACATCAACACAAATAGTCCGAATTCTTTCCGTTTTCTCAACAGATAGAGCTGAAAAACGAGATTTTCCAGGGCAAAATGTAGGAAACGACCAAATTCCCCCATGAAAGGACGATCGTGAAAGCGGAGATGATCCAGAAAGGCTGAAAAGTGCTTGCCGATGGCCAGTCGATCCCAAACCATAACAAGATCTAAACTTCAGCGACATTTCGAACTCAGCATTTGCTCACATCAACGCATTTCCAGGCTATGGTCAGCAGAGAAGTCACGCAAATTGATAGTTGAATGCCGTTCTCCCCTGAGAATGAACTTGCTTGAAGTTTTTCACATTTTAGTACATGTCTAACTAACAAGGGAAGGGCAAGTGGGCAAAGTGGGCGAAGTGGCACGTGCTATTGGGTTGGTGAATTGAAAACTGCCGGACTTTGAACTAAAATTTATTCAACATAAAACCATGAATTCATTCGAAATGATTTCCATTATTATTGGCGACTTCTGCCCTTTTTACAGGCAATTTGCGGATTCCTCTTTCGTAATAGGATTTTGGTTTGTGTGTGAGACAAGTGTGAGACACAAAAATGGAGGACTGGATATGTCCCAGTTTGAGCACTTTCTTCAAAAGAAACCCATTTTGGTGTCAATAGAAAAGTTGTAGAGAATCAAAAATGAGGCTTATAGCCAAATTTCCAAAAGATACACTTAGTAGTTTCGCTTAAAATGCAAGTTTTGTCAAAAAATTCGTAAATTTGGCATTTCTTGAAAACCAGTTTTTGAATCGTTCTGAAAACCTGGATATAAGCTTGATTTTTGATTCTCTACAACTTTTCCATTGACACCAAAATGGATTTCTTTTGAAGAAAGTGCTCAAACTGTCACATAGGACAATAGCCGGCAGTTTTCAATTCACCAATCCAATATATTGACTATTTTAACGATCATTTGATGCAGAATGAAATTACGCATCGAATGACACCAAAAACAACTTAAAATATAATATTCATGCAAAATGAAATATTGGTCAAAATACGGCTGAAAAAATGCCCGTACAGTAAGGCAGACAGAAAGACAGACAGAAAGACAGACAGATACCGTAACCCCCCTCCCCTCAAATATGAAATATGGTTTCAGTTTTTGCTGGCGCTCCCCATCACAAGTTATACGAGTTTAAAGTTTTGCAAGGCATAATGCTAACCCACTACCACTCGGCCACCGGCCACCGGTGGTGCATAGCAAATACTGAAACCATATTCGAAATCAGCGTGAAATTCTGCGTCGTCTGCAAAAATGGTATATAGCAAATTTGGCCACCTTGCCCACTTGACCTTTTATTGTAAGAAGTTAATCGTGCACTATTGAAGATATTGAAAAGATTGAAGAAGATATTGAAGAAGATAAATAAAATATTGAAGAAAACTATCACACTACTCAAAAACTCACACCCAACATAGTCCCATCTGAATTGCCAGAGTTGTCTAATCTGCAAAAAAGAGCGTTTAGAAGCTTGATCGGAAATACCTCTTGTCCCAAGAGATAACCAGAAGAAGAAGCGGATATCACTACGTAAACGATTAACATCTAAATGTAAAATTAAAATTTTCTCACTATTTCATAACTGACGAAGCGGATGAGTTGTTCGTACCAAGCACCACAAAAGAACTTCGTTGATTGAAAGTGGAAAACACAGTTCTACAATCTTATCCTCGATACAAAAATGAAACAGAACAGAAAAAAAAACTGACGCTTTTTGTAGAGTTCTTGCGTTCAAATATTCGAAATTTGTATTCACCAAAATCCATCGAGTTGACAAGCTGCTCTTCTTTTTCCTGATGCCATCTATCGCTGATCATGAAAATAAAAGAGTAGGAAAGCAAGAAAATGACAAAAACGAGCAATTCTGAAATTTAAGTGAATACTTTTTTTTGCTTTCCTTTGAAAACTGCTTTTGCCAACAGCTATCTATCTAAATGAAAGGATTTTTTCCGAAAAGATTTATCAACCTTGCTCAATCTGCTCAGTCAGCTTGGTTTCTTTGCTTCGAATATTGATATATTGTCTGACTAATGGATGCATCAACAAATTCTTCGTTTCTTCTTTCTTCGAATCGGCCTAGAAAAGCAGAATATGCAGCAAGTGCAATAGACAAAAAACCATGATTTTGAGAGGATGTCTAGAATGAGTGCTCTTGCGATCGGGTTCGACCGTTTGGGGTCGTTCTTCGAGATATTCAAGCTCTAAAAACAGAAAGCTCCAAAAAAAAAACGAAAAAATACGTTTAACGTTGAAAAATGGATCGTCGATAAATTCAAAGTTCCAAGTTGTAGGCACTTTGTCGTACCTAAATTCGTACAATCACTTCTGAAATTTCTAGAGTATTCATCGAAGAACCATATCTTTGATTAGAAAACGTGATGCACTGATCCATCACTTGCTTTGCCAACTCCGGGAAATCTTCAATCAGCCTTTGCATTGGCACATGCATTGGCACACCCTGAAACGGCGCATTGTCTCCAAGCGAACAGACCCACATTTGCGTCAAGCTTGGGTTTCAGAAAAAACTTCCAAACTTCCAGGTCCCGGCAAAGTAACCAGCTAGCAATTTTGCTGAAAAAATTTCATTTCGAAAGCTGATATGATAAAAGAACATTTGATTGAAATCTAATGCCACTTCCAAGGCATTTCGGGGTGGATTCTCCTTTGTTTCTGTTTCTGAAACTGACACTTTAAGAGGTTTATTGTAGACCAATCTTACTTAGGTCAACTTTTTCTAGAAAGAACACTTGTAAAATCTTTTCATATCCATATTGAACAGCCAAATGCAAGGGACGCATGCTGAAATGGATTCATTTTTTTTAAAGGTTTTCTTTCTCGTTTCGGTTTAAGTTTAGTTTACAAGTCAAAAAACATGCCCTGAGTCAAAAACGGTGGCGTCGAGAAGGCACTTGCCGCAAAAAACTTTCGCACACTCAGGTTGGTTTTCCTAAAATACATACAGTCGACTCTCTCTATAACGGTACTCGATATAACGGAAAGCTCTATATAACGGAATGGGATTTTGGTCCCGGCCGACACTAGGCTGTTTTAAATATAAAAAACTATATATAGCGGAATTCTATATAACGGAGGAAAGATTTAGAACCGCTTATAATACGGCTTCTCTATATAACTGAATAATTAAGATATCCAGTGATCAATTGACTAAATTTACTGCTAAGCTCTTCAATACTACGTAATATTAGGGTGTCCGGAATGAAAATACCCTCAACTTCGATTGCAATTTTTTCGGTGCAGCGAACAGTTTCGCGTCTGATTTTTGTTTTGTTTTAAAGTTATATATCTTTTCTAATTCTATGTCTTTATAAAAATTTACCGCCTTATAATTTTAATTTTGTTTAGAATGGAAGATCAGAAGTACCGAATTCGGGTGTGCTTGCTCTACGACTTCAAACAAGGAAAAAGTGCCCAGGAGAGCCATAGCTCAATCTTGAAAGTTTTTCGAGAAGCTGCTTATTCAGAGGAAACTTGTAAAAAATGGTTTCAACGATTTGGAGAGGGAGACGAAACTCTACAGGATCGAGGACGTGGACCCTTCAGCGCTCAACGATGACGACCTTCGAGAAGCCATAGAAGATGGTCCAACCTTGTCGACTCGGGAACTTGCAACGATGTTTACTGTAGGCCACACAACCATTGCGGACTATTTACATCGCTTGAGTAAAGAGAATCTCGTCGGAAAATGGGTATCCCATCAACTTAGTGACGCTAATATACCTACTCGAGTGACTATGGCCGATATTCTTCTTCGTCAATCAAAAAATTGAGGTTTTTGGGGCACTATTGTGACGGCCGATGAAAAATGGATTTACTACGATAACCCATCGCGAAAGCGGCAGTGGTTTAGTCCAGGAGAACAGCCAAAAACGACGCCACAACGTGATCCGCATGAACAAAAGGTGGAATTCCCGTTTGGTGGAATGTTTGGTAGAATGTTTGGTAGAATGTTTGGTGGAATGTTTGGTGGAATGTTTGGTGGAATGTTTGGTGGAATGTTTGGTGGAATGCTTGGTGGAATGTTTGGTGGAATTCCCGTGGTCTTATACACTTTGAGGCTTTATCTTCTCGTTCAACAGTCACCTCAGATCTATATGTGCAACAGCTGGAATGATTAGACCAGGCTCTCAAGAATCAAGATGTAAACGCATCGACTGTAAGATATCTGCAAGATAACGCGCGCCCACACACAGCAAAGAAGGCGCAGGAAAAACTCGAGGAATTGGGTTGGGAATGTCTCCCGCATCCGCCGTATAGTCCAGATCTGGCACTCTCAGACTACCACTTATTTCGATCTATGAAGCAATTCCTGCCCGACAAACACTTCAAGGACCACGACGAAGTCCGAATTTGGGTAGGCCAATACTTCGACTTGCAGCCTCAGGATTTCTTCAGCAAGGGGATCCGAGATTTGAAAGAAAAATGGAGAAAGACTATTGCCAACAACGGAGAATATCTTTTGGAATAGAGCGCATTGTTTTCTTTTTGTGGAGATAAATTTGTTTTTCATTAAAAGGGTATTTTCATTCCGGATAATCTAATATTTCATATTTACATAGCGTTTAAGTATACATATGTATTTTAAAGTTTATATTTGCTTATTTTTCTTTCAATACTTTTGTTTGCTGTCTTATTTTAGAGATGGCGATGAACAAACGCTTTATTCTCTCTGGCGCAGAAGACTCAACTTATCGAGAATAAATGAGGAGAAAAATACACGAATGATGAAATTCAAGCCATTGATTTCATTGACAACAATCAAAAGAGCACGTGTAGCGAAGGACGAAACTTTAGACGAGGAAATTCTATCATGGTTCACGGAGCAGCGCAGTTAAAATACTCCGATTAGCGGCCAAATTCTTTGTCAGTAGGCCCTTTCTCTTGCTAAATGCTTTGGAAATACTGATTTTAAAGCAAGCAAAGGATGGTTGTCGTCTTTTAAGAAGTGCCACTCGATTGTTTTCAAGTCGATTCAAGGCGAGGAGAAGGATGTCAACGTGGGCGATTTGCAGGATTGGAAAAAGGACGTCTTGCATAAGCAACTTAGCGATTATCGAGCCACTGCTGTTTTTAATCTTGAGGAGAATGGAGTATTTTGGTGATGTTTTCCCGATTTCTACCAGATGAAGCGGATGACGTGACTGATAATTCTGACGAAACAATTCAAAGCCAATGGGATCTTTTAGTCGCGGTGGGACGAGCTGAAGAGGCTTACAATTTTTCGGATTTTATAGATGTTGCTGAGGAGATTTATGCCCTACTGGAATATTTGTCACCCATTATGATTTGCTTTATTCGCCATTACTCACCAAAATGGCCAACTCAAAAGCTGTTGAGCCGTCAACGTTTCGTCTTGTTAAGTCAGCTATTGCTTTTAATTCATCACAAACTCCCGCATGACCTAAACCATTTGTTTATTGAACTGCTTGACGGTCATCACCGTTTGCCGCAGCTAGATGCAGTGCCGTGTTCTGCTTTTCATCAGTCTTATCGATCAACGTCGTCGCCATATTGTCCAACAAATACTTCACCTAAAGTTTTAAGTTTACCAGCAATATGTTTAAGTGTTAATTTTTTATCGAAAAAGCTTATATCCATAAATCCAACCACGTCTCGGTGACCATACAGTGCGGAAATATGAAGGGCCGTTCGCCCGTCTACTAGGGGTTCGTTTAGGCTTGTGCCAGCGTCAATCAAAAGCTAAAAATGAAAGGTGATCTGTTTATTTGTAGTTTAATTAAAGACTTGTTGATATCTTACAACAAATTCTTTTGAAAATCTTACAGTTTTCACCCACTTTTATGTCTTTCAAAGAGCCATGTGTCGCAGTCAAAAAAAGTGCCGATTTTTCTCTGAAAAATTAATTTTCAAATAGGTTAAAAAGTAATAAAATTGCCGACTGTTCCTATTGAAAAGTTATATTTATTTACAATATTTACTTACAATTCGCAAAACGAATAGATCTCCGCTTCAATTTTTTTATATTGCTCATCTTGGCTTTCTTTCAGTTCTCGCAGTAGATCCATAACGAAGAATAGAAAATTCTGTTTTGCAAACAGTTATTCAAAAAGTTATGTAAAGGTTTTTATCCCTGAGAACAAACCTCCAAAAATTTGACATCTCTAAGTGTAAAACAAATAGTTAAAACGTTGATTGAGTTGTTGATTGGGTCCTGCGCGGCGCTGGCCTTGATCGTTGACAACAAAAACTTCACGTCAATATCTTTGGCAACTTTGAGTATCACCTTAAAAACTAACAATTTTTATCTTTTGTAAAACATTTTTTTTATTAGGTTAGCCCATAAGTCTTGGTAACATTTTTGTTTAAAATTTTATTTACAACCAAACAAGCGGTTACTCGAAACAGTTTCCATTATTTTGGATAACCTTCACTCATTTTGTTGGAAGTTGGTGAGTTCTTCTCTCGTAGAAAATTTTTGGTTCTGAGTCGAAATAGTTTTGGAGCGACTTTTTGAGGTCGTCTTCGTTTTGAAAAGGCTTTTTCAATTGTTGAATCTGAGTGCCCAATCCCATTCGCTATTTCACGAGTAGAAATCCGAGGGTTGTCTTGAATTTTTTAAAGAATCTCTTCATTTTTCAATTGAAAAGATCTTCCCTCATGCTCTTTGTCTTTAAGGGGAGTTCTCACCATTTCTGAACTTGGCAAACCAACGTTGAATTGTGTTTTTAGAAGAAGCGTCATTGCCATTCACGTTTTCAATATTATTCTGGGCCACCAACAAACAAGATCCTTTCTTGAACTCGTACAACATAACGTGTATCAGATGTCCTGGTGGAAGATCTGGGGTAGCCTTAAAATAAAAAAAAATAGAAGCATTGGAGTCGGCATATGAAATGTTTTGAAAGGGCACTGATAAGCCAACTTTTTGGATGTAAACAGAACAGGGAAAGACGAGCACCTAAATAACTCTCGAAAGAACAAAGTGTTACCAAGACTTATGAGCCAGTCTAATATTTCCAACCTCCGCAACTTCCCAAGATCCAGACTGGGCCGCAGAAAGAAAAGGGGTGTACCCTTTCGAGTTTGTTTTCTTGAGCAGCTCTTGATTCTGGTTCTTCTTCTGTACAGAAGTAACCTTCAAGAGTTCAGTTGTTATTTTTGGGTTGTTGCGCTCAGCAGCCAAGTGCAGTGGTGTGCAATTTGAACCTTCGAGTTCATCCTCTTTATCAGGAAAATAGCCAAACTAAAGCTTTGTTTCACTTGGCAAACTGTTTCTAAACAAGTCACATCGATCAGCCATTCGACAGCCTTGTTGTTGTTGAGTTCAACAGCCTGATGAAGCAGCCAGGGACTCGATCTGGGAGAGCAGCGTGAATTTGCATGAAAACTGTTTTCCTACTTGAAAATTTGTTGCTTTTTTGCATTCACTGGTTTCTGCATTTCACTTGTTCTGTTGTTCGCTGCGGTGTCGGGTTGGTTCGGGAAAAATTTCACATCCTCATATTGAGCGTGTTTCAACATACTGTAGGCAAATGATTTTTTGAATCACGATAGGATTGGTTAGGCAAGAGACTCACTCTTTCAGTGCGTCTGTGAATCCGCGTCGAAGAACAAATACGAGCGGAGTCTCTCCAGGGACAGGCGAAAACCAGTCCATGACAGTTGACGACGGGTCTATGACAGTTGACAACGAGTCCATGACAATTTCATTCCATTCTTTTTGAGGCTCTGTCCAAAGAGCGTATTCGTCTAAACAACACATTATTCTCTGGTTCACCTTTCAAAAAACTACAAAACCAATCAGGTATTAGGTACTCCGGAAAATAATTGCGTTTTTTGAAATGAATTATTTCGGACCTTGTTTTTGAGTTTTTTCAGTGCAGATTCCTTTAGAATTTTTTAACGAAAAATTGTTTATAACATTTCTTTGTAATGCCATAAAAATTTGGTCTCTCTTAAACAATGATTAATTTTAGGGGCTCGACACAAGAAGAATGGATAAACGACAAATTTGGACGATTTTTTTGTATGAGTTCAAGCTTGAACATAGCGCAACGGTTGCGGCCGAAAACATCAATCGTGCATTTGCCTCAATCAACATTTGGTCATGAGCCTACTTCTGTTAGAACCGCTCAATTTTGGTTCAAACCATTCCGGGAAGGAGACAAGGATCTTGTGACAAGGAGGGTCGCGGTCGCCCAAGACTTATTGATGGTGATGATTTAAGACAACTTGTCACAGTCAATCCGCGGACTACTGAGCCAGAACTAGCAAAACACTTAAATGTAGGGATTTCGACTATAAGAAATCACTTGAAGGATATCGGAGAGTAGAAAACTGGAGAAGTGAATATCTCATCAACTGGACGGCCGCCATATTTTACACGCTTCCTTGCTGTCTCTTCGTTGAAATCTCGGAACAAAAGAGATCCATTTTTGAACCGGCTGATCACGTGCGATGCTATATAACAATCGAAAATGAAATTCGGAGTGACTAAACAAAGGAGAAGCAACTTATTCGTTCCCCGAAGCCTCATCTTCATCCAAAGAAGATGATGCTCTCTGTTTGGTGGTATAAAAAGATGTTATTCATTATAATTTACTCAAAACAAGAGATAGTATAAATTCAGATATTTATATTAACAAATTGAAGAAATGCATTCAAAATTGAGGAACTTGAGCCCGTCTTTGGTCAATCGAAAGAGACAATTCTGTTACAGGACAATGCTAGACAGAATCTATACCTTTGAAGCCCCTCAATTGCTTGCCAAGTTTGGAAATCGAATTTCTTCCTCATCCGCCGTATTCATTTGATCTTTCTCCAATCTATTATCATGTTTTTCAAGCATCTCGATCGTTACGTTGTAGACGAAATTTTCAAGAACGAAACAGAGGTGAAAAATGCTATTGAAGACTTCATCGCCTCTAGACAGCCGCAAGGGCCGAAAAACTGGCTACTCGTTGGGAAAAGTACATTGATTTAAACGCTTGTTATTTTGATTAATTTGATTGTTGTTTAATAAAAATATTGACAATTGAAAATGATTAAGAAAAATGCAATCATTTTTCGGAGTACCTCATATTTTCATGAAAAACAAAAGAGGGCAAAATTTGTTGAAAATAAATTTCTGTGAAAAAAGTAGAAAACACTTACAAAGAGGGCAGTCCAGCCATTCGATGATCTCTTTTTCAAACGGATTTCTCAAAAGTACGGTACTCAATAATCCATCTTTCAGAGGTTTTGACCGCTGAAAACAAAAATGATCAAATAAAAGCAATAATTCACCTGTGTCGGAACATCGGGCTCAGGCACGAGATGAGGAGGCGTTGCTGGAGGACCAGCAGGGATCAACTGAGCTTGAGGTTGAACAGGTGGAGGAACTGCAATTGACACCAAAGCTATGGTGATCAAAAAAGAACAAATATTTATACCTTTTAATTCATTAATCAAAGCTAATACGAAATCTTTTGATTGGTGAATTGGAGAACTTTCGAAAAAACCTACCTAAGGGTTCCATCTCAATAGCTTCCATCTCAACAGAAACAGAAAAAGGATCCTTCCCTCGATTCGTGTTTGATACTCTTCCTTTATTTACCATTTCCTCTAAACTTTTCATATTTCTAGTTTTACAAATATAACATATAACAAATAAAAACGTGAAAGATAAAACTTTTTGTCGAGGTTTAGTTTAAACGAAAAAAGTGGAAAGATAAGGGAGCATAATGAAGAGTGGCCTTGTGAAGCGAAGTCGTTTATTTCTTATCTGTCGAAAAAAGTGAATCGATAGCAAATAATGGAAAATATTGGGTTGGTGCATTGAAAACTGCGGGACTTTGAACTAAAATTTATTCAACATAAAACCATGAATTCATTCGAAATGATTTCCATTATTATTGGCGACTTCTGCCCTTTTTACAGGCAATTTGCGGATTCCTCTTTCGTAGTAGCATTTTGGTTTTGAATCGAAAAGCTTTCAAAGCCAATTTTTGACTGCTTCTTCCGAATCGAAGTGTTCTCCCGCAAGCTCATTACTCATGCTCCGGAAAAAATAGTAATCAGAAGGGGCGAGGTCCGGACTGTATGGGGGATGCGCCAAAAGTTCCCAGCCAAGGCTGTTGATTTTAGAGCGAGTCAGTTTTCCAACATGAGGGCGCGCGTTGTCGTGGAAGAGAATGATCTCTCGACTTGGAGGGCCTATTCTTCTTCAGGGATTTATTCACCTTTTCCAACTGTTCACTGTATTTGATTGCATTAAGAAGCTTCTTGCTATCCAGCAACTCCCAGCACACCACTCCTTCCAAATCCCAGAAAACGCAGAGCATGAACTTTTTCTGGTGCAAATCGGGCTTGGGGTCACTTTCGGGTTTCTCGCCTGACCCCACCCATTGCTGCTTACTCTGAAAGTTCACAGATAAAACCCATTTCTCATCTCCTATCACAATTCGAAAAAGAAAAAAATTTTCTTTCGTATCATGAGAGATGGGTGGCACTGATCAAGGCGCGCTGCCACTTCTGGGGGTCAGTGAGGTCATGGGGCACCCAAGCCCTAAGTTTTGATTTAAATCCAAGGGTATGAAGGTTCCTTAGCACTGTAGCATGATCAACCCCTAACTCTTCTCCCAGTTCACGCGATGACACCCGATGGTCGTTGATCATAAGTTCGAGTAATTTGGAGTCATCCAGTTGCGGTGCCGCTCCACGGCCCTCTGCATCTTTCAAAGATTTGTTTGTCCTCAGAACGAAACTTGGCAAACCATACTTGACACGTTCTTTCGGAAGGTGAGTCCTCCGCATATATCTTTTTAATATTAGCAGCTGCCAAGCCTGCACTGTGCCCTTGTAGGAACTCATGAAGCATCACATGACGCATATGTCCCGGTGGCAGATTCTCGAGTGCAATAGAAGAAGTGAAGAAATAGACCAAAAAATAAAAAGTTGGAAGCATAATTTTTTCGAAATAATTAGAGGAAATGTTGAAGTAAACAAAACCCCCTTTCAGCTGGTTGCTATTGTTTTCTTTATCTGCGAGTCCCGCGAAATGACCCGCAGTTTTCAATGCACCAACCCAATAGAAAAAATGGTTAAATTTTATGCAAATTTTATGCAAAATTCAGAACTTTTGTTCTCTAAACTTGTGTTAAATTGATGATTAGCTTTTGACTTTGAGCTTTGATAGAATCGAGTATCAACAAACAAATGTTTATCGCATTCGCAATTTTGTAGACCTTCAATCTACATCCACAATCAATCTTATGGCATTGATGGCTTTGGACGAAAGGACAGCTGAGTCAGACCAGCCTCCAGCTCTTCCAGGACCATCTTTTTGTCGTTCTCATTGCGTTCACGGAGTTGATCTTCAGTCTTTGGTTGACTGCTAACCGACTTCTCTTCGTAGATTTTCTGAAATTCAAAAAAATCAATCTTCTGCTGTACAACTTTTTGTGCCAACATTGAAAGCCCTCAGAAACGGATGCTTTAGACACTCGTCGGCACTGAGTCTCTTCTGACGATCGCGATTCAGCATCCGGGTCACCAAATCACGGAAATTGTCGCCTAAAATTCATTTATCCTAAGTTTTTAAACAGTCCATTGCCTGTTATTTCGCTTTGGTTTCTATAATTGATTTTTCGCTTGGGCTCTTTTGTCAGCACCGCTTCGAGCGAGTCGACGTCAAAAACCACAGAAACTCGATCTATGATCGCGTTCTCGGCGCCGCGATTTCGAACCTAAACTCTTGAATCTTTCCCTCACAATCATAAGCAGAGTTTGTTGCTATCAACTAAAGCATTTCACAATTCACTACAAGCATTTAACTACAAGCTACCGTCATTTGCTCATTCAGACTTTTTACTTTGATAGTAACAATTAGGATTCATAAGACTCAAAGACTGTGGCCACTGGCCACGCGTAATCGCACCCTTTCTGGCAAAGGTTCCTTTTGCGATTTTGTCGCTGGCAATTTGCGTCAAAAACCTTGTTTGACATGTTTTTCAAAAACTACTTGACGGCTACAAAAACTAAAACCGGATTTGGGTAGAGGACCAAAAATAACGTGCACGGTGTCCCACAATTATGGTGACGCGCTACTTACTACGTTTAACTGCTTTCTGTGTTTCTTTTTTTCTTGTCTTTTCATTAATTCGATGATTTGATCGTTTTTTAGGTATGAAGTCAAAGAAAGAGCTGTGTCCAGCCATTCTGCGTCCAGCCAGAGATATCTCGAATTTTGCAGGAAAAGAGACATATTGCTAGCCGACACAGAACGATTGAACTGGATCCAAAGAAACTCTTCTGTTAGACAACAGAATTGTTTCAAGCCATTTGTTCAAGACTATTTCTTTTGACAAAATAGGGTCGATAGATTTTTGTTGATATTTTGTCACCATGATTGTGAGACACCTGAGCCTGTAGACACAAATTTTCATGAGTTTTAGTCAAGCCATAAGCGAGAAGCGAGTCCACGGTTTGGCGTCAGGCCGCTTGCTCCCACAGATCATCCAAGTCACCGCCTGGCATCAGGACGTGTCGTTCGTAAATGTGTTAAAACTTTAATACAGTAATTGCGTGAGTTGAGCCTTTCATGAAAATGCTTTAATTGACGGCAATATCGACGTCGACTTTATCGGTAATATCGTTAAGAAATACCAGCTTGTCCACGTCTTCTTCCGTGCCAGACGGCCAGAAAAGCTTCAAGTCAAGCAGCTCGATGGCAACGAGTGCTGCGGCCCAAATGTCGATTTTCATATCGTATGGCTTCCGTTGGAGGACCTCAATAGCTTTGTAGTGATGCATGGTCTCGACGTTTATCGAATGATCGAGATTCACGTTTATTTCTCTGAAAGTCGAATGTGAACTTAGCTTTTTTTTCTTCGCTCACCTAGTCAATCCGAACTGGAAGAGCTTCACCGTGAAATCTCTCGTGTTAATGCCAATGTTCGTTGGTGAGACATTCTGGTAAAAAGACATTCAATACCGTAGCTTATCGTATCGTAACTTTTCTCTTTCAATACTCTCACTTCTCTTCAATACTTTAATGTCACAAGACACAAGGATGTTTTCTATAGGATTTTTACGTTTGAATAGCCATTCGACGCAGAAAAATATTCTAAATAAAAAAATGAAAGAATTTTTTAAATCCCTCCAACAGATTTTTCGATAAAAAACAAATTTTAGTGATTTTACAATGTTAAATTTCAGCCATATTTTATCGTAGAAGTAAAATTTGGAGACAAAAACGCCTAAAACAAAATTCTAAACCATAAGTTTGATTCTGCGAATTTTTCTCTATCTTTCGATACCAAAAACATAAAAATTGAAAAACCCTACAAAAAGCTATAACCTTTTGAAAATAAAAGTGTGGTTTCTGGGTTATGGCGCATTATAAAATGGATAAATTACCGTAACCGAAAAGAGAAAAAGAGTAAAATTCTACTTTTTTGTTGCTACAATTAAACGATTTTCCGATCAATCTACTAATTTTCGCGATTTTTGCCACATGAACTTCAATTTTTCCAGATAATGTCTAAACCAAAGCAAAAAAAAGTAGGAATGCAAGGTTTCAAAGCATTCAAGAAATACAAGGTTATTTATGGCTGAAATGTAAGACTGTAAAATCACTAAAACTTGATTTTTATCGAAAAATCTGTCAAGGGGATTTTAGAAAATTCTTTCATTTTTGTATTCAGCACGTTTTTCTGCGTCCAATGGCTATTTAAACGTACAAATTCTATAGAAAGCGATTTTTTTTGCCTTATTTCGAGCGTTAATAGGCAATAACTTGAATAATTCTATGCTTCCATTCATCGTGGTGCACTAGTTGTTTCGAAATTTCGTTTATGGTAATTGACTAATTGAATCTACGTGACATTTTCAGTTATAATGGGCAACCACTTGTCTGTTTCTATGCTTTCATTTCACTCCAGCCACCCTCACCCGATGCATGATTCCCCGCTGATGGAGGTAGCTGAGCGCTCGAAGTATTTGCGTCAGAAGGGCGCCCAAGTGACGAACGTCGACCTCTGTCGTGTTCTTTTTTGCCAAATCCCTTAACAAAATACTCGAAAAAACGTACTCAATGCACTTACTCGTAATACTCGGCTAGACTATGGTTCATCCTCTCGGAGACAACGTATATAAACGCCGGTAGACCAGCAGCTAGCTCGGTGAACACCTCGTAAAAGTCGACGATCTATAAATTATTGTAAAACTTCTAATATACGTACATGCTCTGGTTATCACCAGAGCAAATACGGTATGTTCCAATAGATGTACCCTCCTTTCTAAATCGCGCTCTTTGAGTGTACCTTTTTTCTAAGACATTTTTACAAATGTTATTCGAGAATGTTGCATAGTCATTTTTTAATAATTTAATTTTTATAAGAATCACTCGGACGTCAACTATGACTCGAACGCGTCAATTGAATTAAACACTACTCCTGGAAATGAACGGACTGGGGCTTCATTGACTGGGCTGCTTTACGTCTGCTAGCTATGCCGAAACCGAAGAAGAACTTCTCC